GAACACACACCCGAGTCTGAGTCACGGGACTGGACCTAACCAAAGGAGTATGAAGAAGAGAAGGCTCCTGGGCTGAGCCCAGCATGGCCCCCTGTTCTTTGCACCAAGGTGAAGGGTACCCCTGTTATCCCAGGGGAGGCCTGACGGCAGACGGGCTGGGCTGGGGCCAGGGGACTTCTCTGGTGAAAGTCAGGGAGGGTAGGAAATCCTGAATTTCATATATGAATGCTATGTCCCCCACCCCTGCTGTTGGGCCATTTATTCATCCTTTCTCGAGCATCTGTAGACACCAATGAATGCATCATGGTAACAAGGATGACCCTTTGGCGGGGAGGTGGAGGGGAAGAACTATAAAAAGTAGATATGGCGAATGAATAGAAATTCGTATAGGTGAACAAACACTTTACCCAAGATCAAGAGTCCCGAGTATCTCCTACCTACCCACCTGTGGGGTTTAAAGGTGTGAAAATGGCAGATGTGTGGTGTCTACAACCCCCTCCCAGAGAAAACCCACCCAAGGCACCCATCAACCAAAGGGCCCATGGGTGCTGGCTGGATGTCCCTGTCACCCCGGGACTTGATGCTGCTGCCCAGCAGCCCTCCGATGGGACAGCCCTCTCCACCTCCGAGGTTTTAACATCAGTGCAGCTCACAGCCTCCGGGGCATGGAGAGTCAGTCCCCTGGTGTGAGAGGCTGGGTTTAGGGGTGAGGGTGAAGGCAGGATTAGTGCCCAGTTAAATTCTCGGGTATCCATAGTAGATAACAGACAGACGGGAGGGAAATGTTCATTCCCAGTGTCTTCATAGTGGTAGGACCTGTGTCGATGTGATTGTAGGGAGGATGTGCCTGACATTTCTTCAGGAAACCTGGGAACTGCTGTCCCAACACAAGGAAAGAAATCATGTGGAGTGTGGTGGGTGGGGTGTACAGAGGCTAGAGTCAGATCTGGGTCACAGCCTTGCCTCTGATGCCCGCTGGGTGAGAACCCCTGGGAGACTTTGGCCTCAAATGTTCCCCAAGACTCACCGGTTGAAGGCTTGGACTCCAGCCTGTGGTGCTACTGGGAGGGGGTGGAACCTGCAAGGGACTGAAAGGGATTCTGGGAACTGTGGCTCTGCCTTTCTCTGCATCCAGGCTGCCATCAGGTGAACTGGCAGCCCCTCCATGTGCTTCTACCATGACACACTGTGCCGCCACCAGCCCAAATCTGCAGGCCAGTGGAGCACGGAGGGAAATCTCTGAGACTGTGCACCAAAATCAGCCTTTCCTCCTTCGCAGCTGATTATCTCACGTGTTTGTTACATCGACAGAAAGCTAACACGACCTTGCTGAGCCTGTTTCCTCGTTTGTGAGCAAGGTTATTAATCTCCGTCAGCCTTTGCACCAATCCACTAGGCAAACGTGTCCTGGCTTTTGGAGACTGTACAGCAGGAAGTAGGCTAGTAGGGGTCCCAGCAAGATTCAGAACGAGTCCTATCTCTGTGCTGGCACTCGTTAGGTGTGGGAATATAAATACGAAGGTTCACAGTCCTCGCACCCAAGGAGCTTCTCGTTGAGCTGAGAGGCAGACTTAGAAATAATCATGGTGCTTAGAAACATCGTTCCTGAGCATGGCAGGCATATAACACTGCAATGGAAGTGTGGATGAAGAACGCTTAATCTGCCCAGGCCAGCTATCTGATTTTTGACAAAGGGGCCAAAACATACAGTACAGCCTCTTTAATAAATGGTACTGGAGAAACTGGCTATCTACATGCAGAAGATTGAATCTAGACCCATGTCTCTCACCATATATTAAACTAAAATCAAAATGGATCAAAGATTTAAATGTTGAAACAAAGGCTTAAATTGCTGGGAGATAAAATAGGTAAAACTATTGTCAAGGACTTTCTGATCAGAACCCCAGTGGCACAAGAAATAACACCAAGAATCAACAAAGGAGATCACATCAAATTAAAAAGCATCTGCACATCAAGGAAATGATCAACAGAGTGAAGAGACAACCTACAGAATGGGAAAAAATTTTTTTGCCAGCTATTCCTTGAAAGAGGACTAATACCTAGAATATATAAAGAACTAAAAAAATTAGATCCCCCCCAAAAATAAAAGACCCAATCAAAAAATGGGTAACTGAAATGAACAGGCACTTCTCAGAAGAAGAGTCCAAATAGCCAATAAGTACATGAAAAAGTGTTTAGCATCACGGCTCATCTATTTTTTTTTTCTTTTTTTGGTACAGGGGATCAAACTCAGGACCTTGTGCTTGTGAGGCAGGTGCCGGAACCGCTGAGCTAAATCCCCAGCCCTATCACTGGCTATCTAAAGGCCATCTCTAAGAGATGAAAATTAAAACAACACTGAGATTTCGCCTCACTCCTGAAAGAACAGCTATCATCAAGAAATCAAATAATAGCAAACGCTAGCAAGGCCTTGGGGGAAAAGGAACCCTGCTACATTGTTGGTGGGAATGTAAACTAGTGCAGCCACTGTGGAAATCAGTATGGAGATTCCTCAGAAAACTAAAACTAGATATTCCATTTGACTCAGCTATTCCCCTTCTAAGTATCTTCCCAAAAGAGTTAAAGAGGACATATTACAGTGATGTATACATAGCCATGTTTATAGCAACTCGTAATAGCACAACCTTGGAAGGAGCCTATATGTCCATCAACAGAGGAATGGATAAAAGAAAGTGGTATTTACACACAGTGGAGCACTACTCCACTCTGCTATGAAGGAGGATAAACTTGAGTCATCGGCAGGAAAATGGATGCACCTTGAGACCTTCGTGTTAAATGAAATAAAACAGAACACAAGCTTAAATTCCACATGGTTTCTCTTATATGAGAAACTCAAACTATAAAGAGTAAAATAGCCAGGGATTTAGCGCAGTGGTGCTGCTGCCTGCCTCGCAAGTGCAAGGTCCCGAGTTCGATCCCTGGTTCCAAAAAAAAAAAAAAAAAAAGAATTAAGAGGTATTATGTACAAGTAGCAACTCCCCATCAGGAATGTAATCATTATGTACTGCAAATGTGTACTAATACAAAAAACTGAAGAAATTACATTATTGAGAAATTTTTAAAAATCTGCCTGGGTGAGTCTGGGAAGGCTGCACAGAGGCGGTGATGAGAGAACCCGAGGGTGAAGTCGTCCACTTAACCCACTGTGAACCCCTCGGTGCCAGGCTCTTAGCCCTACTGTCCTCCCGGCACATGGGAAGGGCTCAACCAGAGTGCGACGGCCACTCCCTCTACCCTTCTGCCTGGCGGTCGGGGGTGACAGGCTTTGCGGTTTAGAATGATGACTCAGAAGCAGAGTGTAACAGGGAACATTTCAGTCCGTCCTGGGGACCTTGGGCAGGCAGGTCCTCTTCGAAGGCAGCATACCCAAAGGGGGTCTGTGTTCTTCCTCTCCTCCTCTGTTTCTCCTCCTCTTGATTTTGCTCAGTGCTATGTTCTGCACCCGCCTTCTGGCCAAGGCTGTAAATCCTGAGTTTAGTCTCAGATCTGCCTCTTTCTTGTTTTTTTGTTTTTGTTTTTTTCTTTGGTATCGGGGATCGAACTCGGATCCTTGCACTTGCGAGGCAGGCAGTAGAACCACTGAGCTAAATCCCCGGCCCCAGATTTGCCTCTTTCTTGTGTGACTCTGGTCAAACCACACCAGCTCTTGAAGTCTCAGCCTCCTACCCTGCAAGATAGGGGTAACACTGTCCCCCTGCCCTATGGGGCTCTAGGGACGCAGTGGGTTAGAGCAAATGAGGTGAGAGGGCTCAGAGAAGTCAGGGTGAGGCTGGCCCACACCTCCAGACCTGTGGGTTACCCGGGAACGGGATAAGGAGGCAAGCGTGTAGAGTATGGCCAGTGGCAAGGTGGGCGGATTAAGGTCCCTGGAAGATGTCCATGTCCCAATCCCCAGAGCCTGTGACTATGCTCGGTTACATGGCAGAGGGCAGTTAAGTGGCAGATGGAGTTCAGGCTTCCAACCAGCTGACCTTAAAATGGGGAAGGGATTCAGGGCTCTGGCGGACCCCAGTAATCACAGGATCCTCAGAGTGAAGAGGATGAAAGAATCAGAGTCAGAGTGATGGGGGTAGGAAGGGCTCGGCCGCTGTCACTGGCTTTGAACATCGAGGATGCAGGCAGCTGGACAAGCCAGAAAGGTACAGAAAGGGCTCCTCTCACAGCCTCGGGAAGAAACTCAGCCGGTAACCACTGGCTTTTGGAACAACAGTGCCACCCACTTTAAGCCTCTGACCTCCCAAACCTCAGCTGTTCCATCTGTATTGTATGAGCCGCTGATCCTTTGTCACCACAGCCACAGACATTGAAACAGCCAGTCAAGTACTGGCAAGCACTGCTCCTGCTCTGCGGGGGTCCCCGGCTCCACGGCTGCCACTCCAGCAGGGCTCTGAAGGTGCGCAGTGCACACAGACACGAGGGAGAGCGGGGACGGGAGGGTGTAAGGGCCCAGTGAGACAGGACAGGGACGAGGCCTGGCCAGGGGCACTGAGTCGGCTTCCAGGAGGAAACTCCAACCTGGCCAAGCTGGGCAGTGGATGAGAACTGAGCACTCCACCTACGCACGTGAAGCCTTGAAGGAGGGCAGTGTCCAGGGGGTCAGGGCATGCCTAAGCCGGGGCAGGCTCGCACAGGCCCGAGCAGGAAGATGAGGCCAGAGAGGAGACCGCAGGGTGGGAAGGGCCGGCCAAGGCTGGACTCCCAAATCACTGGAGGGCTTTATGCAAAAGACCAAAGCTGTGAGATTTATCCTCCACGAGCCCTCTGGCTGCAGTGCAGGAAGCAGATGGGCTGGGGGCCAGCGAGCTGACCACGGACCCTGACTCCAAAGAGGGAAGCTGGGCTTCCCGGGTCTGTATCTCCCCAGGGAGCCGGTGCTGCCTGTGTGGAAGAGAGGAGTGGGCAGCGGGGAGCAGAGGGTGGATAGTGCTGGCCAGCTCGGGAGGCAGAGCAGCAAGCAATAAAACCTCTGGCAAGGCCTTGGATCAGCACTCTGATCTATGAGTGACAACTACTCCTAGCAGAACAGAGTCGGTAGAACCCCGCCCTGCGGGCCACGCCCTTCAGTAGCTGCCACTCCACCCTTCTTTAAAACGCAGGGCCAGACTCTAGAGTAAGTGTCTCTGGCCTACATTTAGAGGGTGGAAGGAGTCTGTTTGAGGTTCAGAGTTCACTGTTTTGGTCACTGAGTGGATATTAATGAGCTCCTTCTCTCCCAGAGTGACAGGTGGGACCAGGTGGAGGAAGCACCACTAGGGAGCAGCGTTGACCTTCGGGGTGTGGTCAGGAGACTGTGGAGCCTGAAGACAGCCGGAGGGACCAGGGCTGCAAGGAGGCTGAGCGGCTGCTGGGTAAGGGAGCAGTTTCCTGTGGTCCTTCCTCTTACCAGAGGGTGTACAGAGGTGGTGGAGCTGATCAGCAAAACCTTATTGTTCCCATAGCTCCTGACAGCTCATTTTGTTTGTTTGGTTTTCTTCTCAGGGCAGAGGGGAAGTGTGTGGAAGAAGCCCCTCCGCATAGGCAGCATGGGTGATTTAGATGGAGTCACTGTAAATGCACACTCCTCTCTCTCCAGCGTGCTCAGAGACTCCCTGCACTGCGGTTTCTCCAGTAACCAGTCCCTGGTCCCACTGAGAACCCCTCACCCCGAGAGCCACCTCCCAGGGCTGCCCAGAGTCCTGAGGTCCCACACCAGTTTCCTGGCTTGGGGCCACCCTGCTTCCTGAGCAGGAGTTGGTCGCTCTGTGTGTGTGTGTGTGTGTGTGTGTGTGTGTGTGTGTGTGTCCTGGGGTCTGCAACATTTGTCCTTCAGGGCGCAGCAGGGGCAAGGCCTAACCTTCTAAGATTAGAACAAGTTTCCCAAGGACCGGGCTTGCATCCCAGTCAGCTGCTACCTCTCCTGTTTCAGGCTGGAGCTGAACTCTTAGGGGCGGGGGTGGTGCTTGTTGGATGTGGCACCGGGACAGGGTGTGGAGCCAAGTCCCCAGGCCCGTCCTGGGAGAGCCTCACCAGGCAGCCCCCGAGGGAGAGAGGAGAGGCCTCTCGATAAAGCCGGATCTCTCCACCTGACTTGTGGACCCAGGTCACGTGCAGCAGAAGGGACTGATGATTGTGCCAGCAGCTGCCATGTCCTGAGCACGCACCACAGCCTGGCCAGCCGTGTGCGTGGTCACACCTAACTCGAGTGACCTGGCCCAAGAAGAGAGTCACGATCAGCTTGCTTGGCTGAGGGAACTGAGGCACAGAGAGGCTAAGAGGCTTCTCCTTAGTCGAGGCACGGATGTTCGCCAGGGTCACTGGGTGTTTGCGGGGAACTTTGGAAACCATCCCATAAAGGAACAGCTTCACGTGAGCTGTAGGGAGCAGGTGGGGCAAGGGCTGTGAGAGTCTGGACAGGACAGGTCAAGAGAGTGAAGGCACAGACAGGACATAGCCAGGGGCGGAGGCCATAGGCCTGGACTCAAGGGTGCAAAGGCAAGAAGCTAGGAGGAAAGAGCGGTATCCACTTCATCAGTGCCTATCTGGTTTTACAGCACAGGGCCACTTGGGCAAGTTGCCTGTCACTGTGTGACACCCGATGCCTGGAGAATTCCACATAAGAAGACCTGTACCCCCCAAGGCAAGGCTTTTCCAAATTTTTCAAGTCAAAGTCGTTAGATTATTAAAAAACATGAAGAGAATCTCGCAGGCACCATATGCTTATGTGAACCTGGACTGTACTTGGAATTAGTGCATGGGAAGTGTCTCATTTGGAGGCAGAAGGAGAAAAATAACTGGATTCAGAATAACATCAGAAGAACAAAATCTCAAGTTTTTATAAATTTCTGAACTCACAACCCTTTTAACTGCATTCACCAGCATGACAGAGCACTGCAGCAAGAGTCCCTGCGGAGCCGGCTGTAGGACTACAACCTGCAGAACTGGTGTCTGAGCTTCCGCCCAGTGAGGCTTCCTCGGGGCACCTCGGGCAAACCTGTGGGAAGCTCCCCCTGCCCAATCCGACTCCATTCAGGCCAAATCAGCAGCTCCTCTTTCTGTTTTACCACATCTTGGACTCACTCATTCTCCCTGTAGTACCTGCCCTGTGGTACATGCTCGGGACAAAGAAAGGAAACAGATCCTCTAACAGCAGAGGTTACAGTCCAAAGCTGTTGTTATTTACCTTCAGTTTATGATCTATTAGGGCAACAATACTGCAGAAGGAAAGGACTAGGAGAGCGTGAGAAGGGACCTGACCCAGAGATGGGACATTCTCAGTGGAAGTGACACAAGCAGACTGTCACATGTGTGTGTAAGTGTGTGGGGATGGAGATGGACACGAGCCTTGTGCATGGTTTGCATGAAGACTTGGTGAGAAGAGATAAGGGTCTGAGGAATGGGAAGGAGGCCTGGGTGGTTGGAACTCAGCTTTTAAAATACCCACAGTTTTGCAAGATTTCTTCCCCCCTGTAAGTCTGACCCCAGAGGTCAGGTGTTACTCATGGCACTTCCCCTTGCCCACAGCCTGCCCACAGCAGCTACTCAATAAGTGGATGGATGGGTGGATGGATGGATGGAAGGATGGATGGATGGAAGGATGGATGGATGGATGAATGGATGGTTGGGTGGATGGATGGATGGGTGGATGGAAAGATGGGTGGATGGGTAGATGGATGGATGAAAGGACAGTTGGGTGGATGGTTGGATGGATTGTTGGGTGGATGGAAGGGTGGATGAAAGGAAGGATAAATGGATGGTTGGATGGATGGAAGGATGGATGGGTGGGTGGGTGGATGGAAAGGTGGATGGATGGCACCTCAGTAAACCAACACCATTAGGCTCACCTCAGGAAGCTTGATTAAAATAGATCAGGACCTTGAGAGGGAAATGGAAACAACTCGTCAGCCAGGGGTCACTCTGAGTGGGCTGGGCTGGACTATTTTCACTAAAGCTCAGCCACTCATCCAAGATCACTAGATGGTAACTACAGGACAAAAGAATGAGAACTTCCAGGGCGGGGATTTAGCTCAGTGGTTCCGCCTCCTGCCTCGCAAGTGCAAGGACCCGAGTTCGATCCCCAGTACCAAAAAAAAAAAGAATGAGAACTTCCCCTGCCAAGACTATTACTTAGCAGACTGAGCCTCCTGTCTCTACTCAGAGCTGAGAAATCCATTGGAATCACAGGTTCTGATTCCTGAGTATCATCTTCTCCAGGTTGGCTTAATAACCAACCTATGCAGGGCAGGGGATTTAGCTCAGTGGTTCTGCCACCTGCCTTGCTGAGTTCATTCCCCAGTACCAAAAAACAAAAAACAAAACAAAAAAACCCAATAACCAACCTATGCTAAAACAGGACATCTAAAAACGACTTAAAATTTGTCTGTTTCTTTGTTTACACTGGTTGACTATTTCTGTGGGCTGCTTGACATCTTCAGACCCATTTCATCAAGGAATACACTGGGCAAATGGAGGGAGGGAGTCCCTCCTCCAGTGGCTGGCCCGGACCAGAAGCCCACATCCCTGGTCTGGGCTCGGCCAGGAGTCACTGAGCCTCTGGATACCTCTGCCTCCAGGGGAACCCACAGCCTCAGGCACAGCAAGTGGCCCCAGATAAGCACAGGGGAAACCCTGCTGGCCGTTGACACCCCTTCAGCTGGGATGGGACCAAAGGGGTCTTGAAGGTGACTGTTTATTTTTTTAAAATTAGCTTTTCCATCTCTTTTTGCTATTCTCCTCCAGACAGAGAACGAAAGAAAGGCAGGGAGGACAGGGCAGGAGGGGGAGGGAAGGGAAGCTACCCAGCTGGGTTGAGATGCTTCATGTGTAAGTTCTATTGGGTTTGATGTGAATAGCAGGGGAAGGTGGAAGGACAGCTCTCCTTGTGGCCCTGACTCCCAGCGACAGTGTCCCCTGCAGGGGCTGGCCGAGTGCTCTCCAGAGCAGCAGCCCCACACAAGCCCAGACCTGCTGTGTGGTGGCCCCCGGGCTGCTCAGGTGCCCCCTGTACCCAGAGCCATCTGTACACTCAGTGATTCTATCTGCACCCACCAGCCTTGCTCCAAGGGCTCTCTTTAGAAGTTGGTTTTGAATTAGTGACAGCACCCTATTGTCATGCGTTGTCTCCACAGTAATAAAACAGCTTCACTGAGTGGACCCACATTAAGATGATTTCACTTCATCCTCAGGGCATCTTTGCCATGTGGGTTCCTAATCACCTCTGTTTTACCAGAGAAAACTGAGACTCAGACAGGGCAAGCGGCTGGTCTAGGGTTGCACAGTCCCTCGAGGTGATCTGGTATCTTTGCTCAGGTGGTCTACAAAAACACCTGTGCTCCTACCTACAGCCCCGTGTGCATTTGGGAGTTTACACTTGGGGATTATTCAATAATAAGACAAACGACCCAATACCAAATGGCAAAGGGTCTGAACAGACACTTCACTGAAAATTATAAATGAATGGCTAGTACGTGCCTTAGTCATTAGGAAAGTGCAGATCAGGACTACAAGATACAACGCTACATACCACAGAATGGCTAAAACAAAGCAAGTGGACAATACCAAATGAGATGCAAATGCAGAGCAACGGGGCTTCTCAGACATGTTGCTGGAGGTGCTAAATGTGTAGCCACTTGGAGAAATATTTTTGCAGCTTTTCATGAAGTTACACATGGATCTACTCAATGTCCCAACTGTCTCGCTTGCAGACTATTTATCCCAAAGAAATGTGAACATAAGTCCACATAAATACTTGCATGGAAATCTTCAGAAAAGCTGTATTATTCATAACCCACGCCTGGAAACCACTCAAATGTCCATCCCCTGGGAGCTGATAAACAAACGTTTGAAGACCATGGTGGAATATTACTCAGACACAATAAGGAATGGACTCCAGACACACATGCCAATATGGAGGAATGTCAAAAGCATTCTGCCAAGTGGAAGAAGTCAGACAGGAAAGACTACCTGCATGATTCCATTTACATAACACTGTGGGGTACTGGAGAATGAATCCAGGGTCTTTGTGTTGAGCTACATCCCCAAACCCCTTTTTTATTTTGAGTCACGGTCTTGCCAAGTTGCCCAGGCTGAGCTGAAACTTGTGATCTTCCTGCCTCAGCCTCCCAGAGTACGGAGATTACAGGCCTGTAACACCAGGCCCAGCTCATTTACATAACATTCTTTTTTTTTTTTTTTTCCATACTGGGGATTGAACTTGGGTCCTTGCACTTGCGCGGTAGGTGGTGAAACCACTGAGCTAAATCCCCAGCTCTACATAACATTCTTAAAAATGCAGAACTATAACCACAGGGAGCAGATCACTGATTGCCTGGGACAGGACCGAGTTGAGAAACTGACACACTGATTGTGATCTGTGTATCCTGTGACGGTTTCACGACTGTACCACCACCAAACTGTACACTAAAATGTGGGGGTTTTACTATGTATGAATTTTACCCTGCAAGGTGGTTAAGTATTTTTAGAAGGGCTGATCATAGTTGAAACACAAAGGCTGAGCCTGGGACGCGTGCTTAGTCTCAGGACACCAGCCCTCGGCCCCCGGGGCCTGGGTAGGAAGCACTGTGGCTGCTGGAGGTCAGTGTCCTCTCTCATCTGCTGGCCATGCCTGTCCAGCCCAGGGCTGCAGCCAGGACTCCTACAGCCAGACAGCAGACGTGGCAGGGAATCTGGAGCTTGACAAGTACGGTTCATGGCTTGTGGGGTCTTGGGCAGTGGAGTTCACTGCTCAGAACCTCATCTAGGAAACATGGACAGCACCACCCTCTTGGGGTCGCAGGGGTGCAGGGATTGGGTTTGAATGATCTAAACCTTGCCCCTTCCTGGAGGTGTGACTGTAGACATTTGATCCTCCGAGCCTCAGTTTCCCCACTTGTAACAGAAGGGTTAGCATGGCACCTATCTCAGGACTGTTGGCAAGCCCAAGAGATTGTGCACATAACAACCCCTACCCCGGCACCCCGCACACGATAACCTTTCCATTGCTTGAGCTAAGACACTAATGGGCACAGAGTAGGTCTTAGCCGGACTGGGGGCTTCCTTGCTCTCTTGGTAGATTTGCCAGGATGTTGCCAGTTTGACTCTCAAGAACGAGCTGCAAAGGGGTGCCAGGAATCTGCTACCACCGAGTTGTTTTCATTCCCAACTTGCAGAACAAGTCGCAGACCACATGGATCCACACTGCATCTGGATGTCAGAGGAATTTACAAAGTGGAGTCTTCTGAATCACAGGAAAGAGCAGCCTGGCTAATTGGAGTGGGATTCTGGCCTCCAGCCACACTTCTGCTAGCTCACAGCAGGGCCATTCATGCGCAAGGGTCACGGAGAAGTCTCCAGGCTGTGGGGTGGGCTAAGGGCTGAGGGACATCTGCTTTTGGCTTCTGAAGCGCCTTGCCTTTCACCCAGGGCCAGCACTATGGAGGGGCCATGAAAGCAAAGCCCCCAGCAGCGGGGCTTAGGTGTGGGCCCTGAGCTGGAGCACAGCACCTGTCCCCGAAAGCCCAAGCCTGACGGGGAGTTCTGGGTAATTTCCCAAGTGGGAACAGGGATCCTCAAGGACTCCTGCTCTCCAGGAAACATGCCCCGGCTCCAGGGGTGCAGGGAGAGGGATGAGGGGCTAAGTCTGCCTCTAGGACACCCGAGCTGTCTGCAGATTGGGAGGGAAAACCCAGAGGAGTTTTCTCCAGAGCTGAGCCTGGCAGCTTCGGCTTAGAGCCTGGCCAGGCAGCGGGGAAGCACATCAGACCCTGCCTACGCGCCCTGCTGCTCCATCATCTGTCGCACGGGCTCACGACAATGCTTTCCAAGGC